TTTATTTATATTTAATATTATAGAATATACTTTTTTGGCCTTTTCCAGTTCAGAATTCTCTGAATCTCGAGTAAAAGACTAACTTTTTGTAGGTTATTTACGTGGTCGTTTTTCAGGAAGTGGTGACTGACTCGAGGATGTAGAAAGTTTTCGTTTCGATTTCAGTTTTTTGGCCTTTTCATTCAATGCATCGTCATTATCTGTAATATAACAACCGATTTAGAATATTCATCAAGTTCACTGAATGAACAGTATTTTTCTACTCAGAATATTTCTTTTGATAATCAAAAAACTTGGTGTTGTGTTAATCAGAAAATGTAGTATTTTGACGATCACAAAAAGTTTACTGATTATAAAAAAAACCCAGGTATACTGATTATAACAAAACTTTAATTTACTATAGTCGGATAAGTGAATGGACATTCAAATGTTTATAACCTCACTTTATTGACATAAATCAATTTATTTAAAAAACAAATCAACGTTAAAATCTAAAGTGTAAGAATGAATTTTTTTTAAGTTATACTGAGAAAAATTGTGAAATTCTGTTTTCACCAACGCGTAAATCGAATAAACTGAATAATAAACAATAAAATTCGTATTATGTTTTGTGAATGGAAAATATTAGATTTACAGAAATTTGTTCTGAATCAGTTAACAGAAATTGTATATATATTAATTGAAAAAAAAGGTTAATAATTGATAAAAAATAAATCAGTGGATGTATAGGTTTTAGGTTATGAATTTTATTTTGATAATCACAATACGTGGTGTTTTGATAATCAAAATATCTGATACTTTGATAATCACAAAACTTATTTTGATGATAAGAATACTCATTTTATAATACTTTGTATTCTGTCTATCAAAATACTTTTTTTTCAGTGTTTGGATAAATTCTTTTTTCAGTAAACAAATTATAAATTATTAGAAAGTGTAATAAAATAAGTCTTGATGGATTCTTGAATCTTAGTTTATAATATAAAAAAAATTGCACATATGGTCGTCAACTTCTGGTGGTTGATCGATATCATGAATAACTTCAAAGTCCTCCACTGTGCAATAGGATTGGTCAGCATCGCAAATTATAAGATAAAACATCTCAGCAGATTCTTGTAAGACGCACAGTTAAAATGTATGTGCACAGATAAAAATTGTTTAATTGAAATTTTCAGATTATAAATTTTTTGAACATACGCGACACAATAACAATAGGAGGCTATGACGCCATTTGTAAAAATTTACTCATGGCTACTATAGTGACCGCGGGGCAGCGCGGCAGTCAAACTATATCGATATTTATCATCATGTGTATATACACAATATATAGGTACACATAACCGTTCAAGTGTATGTATTTGTTTACAATAAGTTAACGCGGCGTATATAAATTTCTGTTTAAAAAAGTTATTATTATTGTTAATTTAATTAAAGTTTATATCATTTAATATACATGAAATTATAAATAATATGTCATCTACAAATTCAGAAAATGGATCTCCGTTAGTTAAAAGGAGAAAATACAAAATTTATAAAACAATTAAATCCCAATGCACCTTTTCTGTAAAGTATTACAGAATTATATACAATTATATA